TTGCAGGAAAGAAAATAAAATATTGATACACCAAGTAATTTAATAGAGAGATGCTATTCGTACCGGGGGGTGTACAACCCCCCCTACCGGCCCCCTCACATGAGGGGGGGCCCACAAAAATGTCCCCCCCCCCCCCTCATGTGAGGGGGCCCGGTACAAGGAGTAAAATCCTTTGAGAAAATATAGTTTTGAATAGTGATTTTTTTGGAGAATGTGTGATTAAAAAGTATGGAAAAATTTTAAATTTACGTGCAAAATATTTTATCGTGTAAATATGTAGTTGAAAATGAGTATGAAAATTAAAAAAATTTGAAATAATTATTGTCAAACGAGGGCTCAAAATCATTAACAAAGAATACTAACATGATTTTACTTGTGAATTATACATCTAACTTACTTCTATTTATATATTGAGATGTTGTGAGGCATTCGAGACAATGTTAAAGGCTCGTTTGATTCATAATTTTCTTTAAATTTTTTTTTTTTTGAAAAATATAAGGTTCAAAGTTGAGAAAAGTTGAGTCCCATAAAATTTACAGTTGAAAATATTTTTTAAGAAAAAATAATATTTCAAAAATATGTGGTAAACTAGCCTTAAATATACGTCACAAACATAAGTACATCTCCTAAAAGCTTTTTAAACATAAGATAAGATGATTTTTATCTTCAAAAGTCAATGCTTAAAATTATATTTCAAAAGATTCTTTTTAATTAATATTTTTAATTCGAGAGTGAGTTTGATTCTCCAAAATTTGGAGAATCAAATCCACTCTTTATAATTAAGCCATTGTTTGGTGGCCATTATTTATGAAAAATAATATTTTGAATAGTGAATTTTTAGAGAATGTGTGGTTAAAAAATAAAAAAAAAAGGATTTACTTGCATAATATTTTATTGTATGAATACGTGATTGAAAATAAGCATATATAAAAATAGTTTTAAGTTAAAGGCCATTGAACATGGGCTAAATGCATTCAAAGTATTTTAATTTTTAATGAAAGAAAATATTATAATAATTTGAAGGAAAGTTAGTGAAAATAAAAGATAGAAAAAAACAATAAATATTTTTTGAGAATAATAAATTTAAGTATTAAATATAAAGAACTGTTAAAATATTTAAAAAAATTTACTCTCTAAATTTATAGAATTTCTCTAAATTATAAAACATCCCCTTTAAAAATAGAGAACATCTTAGAAATATTAGGGACCGTTCTCTTTGCTATTTTCAGTTCGTTTTCTATTTTTGATTTTTCAAATCAGTGAAACCACATTTACTTACCTATTTTCAAAAACGAATTTCCGAAAGCGAGTTTAAAATTTACAAAGAAAACCAAAAAATACAAAACTGTTGTTTTGGGTGTTTTTATTTAAAATCAAACCAAAATTTTCAAAACGTGTTTTGGGTGTTTTCAGTTTAACGTCACCCCAATCACCACCAACATCGCCTGTACCACACCACCGCTGCTGCAACCACCACCATTGCCTCTTACATCACACCACCACAAAAATCACAGTCCTTGCCATCGTCGTCGCCACAACATCACCCCAACCACCACCACTGTCGCCTGCACCACACCACCACCACACAATCGCCAGATCCGCCACCACCACAAAACCAAAACCACAACCACAAAAACTGCCACCACACAACCGTCGATCCACCACCACAAAAATCGCCAAAATCACAGCAGAACCACCACCGCATCCAACCATCGCACACCACGTACCCAACCATCGCACCCAAACCAACCATCGAATCAAAAAAAAAAAAAAGAAAAAGAAAAAGAAAAGACGAAGAAGCACAAAGAACAACAATGTCGCATGGAGCACCGCTCGTAGGGAGATCCTCGGAAGTGCAAGTTGTCGAGAGAGCTGGAGAGAGAGATGACATATCATAAAATGAAGAGAGAGAGAGAGAACATGTTTTCATTTTTTTTTTTTCAAAAACAATTTTTCAAAATGACAAAAAGAACACATTTTTATTAATCTCAAAATAGACACTCAAAACATAAAGTAAAAAATGAATTCAAAAATTAAAACTAAAAACTCAAGCACGTAAAGAAATGCCCCTTATTTTTTAAAAGATGTAAATCTATTCAAATTTTGACCGGATTTTATCTGAGTATTATCTACAAAGTCAAACAGAATAAAATACATTACTAGATTTCTAGAATAACTAAAGGCATTGATGCCAAAGACATTTGTGCCCAGTTCAGGTTTTTACAACCCAAACGTACCCTTCAGTTCGAGAAAAGGCCTATGTAGAACTATACGTACACGTGATAGGATCTATAAATTATATCAATAAAGCTTCAAATACAAGAAAATTTTAATATAATTGACATCTATGCTGATGTGGACGATATGATTGGTCTTTTTTTCCATCTTTCAATGGTACTATGTCAAGTATTGTCCGTCAAAAATTAGGTCAAAAAAAATAAAATTTACATTATGACATCTCCAAATTCGAGATCCATTTTGTTTCTCTTTCTTTTATCAATTTGAATGTCGAAATGTTTTGATTTGAATATTTCAAAATTCGAAATCTCAGCGTCATCGTTCTATTGAATTTTTTTTTATGAGGTCCTTCTCTGAAAAGTAGTGTGCACAAGGGCTGATGGAAAGTGGGCGCGTCTGGGGCATCTCTGTCATTTCCATTAAAGACAAAATGTTACCTCAAGGATCCAGCCTGGAATGTATGAAAGCATACACAGAACAAAGAACCACAGCAAGTCAGCAAGTCAGTGCAGGGTAGGGTAGACTGGGGGTGTTTCTGTCAAGTTCCCATCACAAAATTAAAACTTAGAAAAAGTACTCCTAATTTTACACAAATTTTAGGGCTTTAAATATTATTTTCTACTCACACTGTTCAAACTTTTTTGCACCAACCGGCCATCTTTGATAAAGAAGAAACTCACTGTCGGTACCCAAGGCCATTGTAGTCAATTCGATACACCAATTAGAATCCAACACACAGAAATCTAGCAAAAACTGAACTAAAGCTACTTTCGATTCACCAGTTCATCTATGTTTTCCCCCTTTTCTCTTCTACCACAACCAGATCTTGCAAGTCAAAGAACTCCCAAGAACTTGCAAAAATAATGAACTTAACCTTACCTGATACAGAACCAGAAGATGATTCAAGAAAATTTCAAGATTCTCTTTAATGGAAAATCTTAAATTTACTTTTTTCTTCACTCTGTTGCTCTTCATTTCTCTCCTTCCTACATCACTCTCCACAGGTAATGATAATTCCAAGAAACCACTTTAGGCAAATCATTTCAATCATTAATGTGTTGTCTACTTATGGCAATTGTAGTTAGTTCGTGTATTTTCTGTATGCAGGGATTAAGGTACAGCAGGACAAAGATGAGCCTTATGTGGGTGTGAACATAGGCACTGATGTGTCTAATTTGCTTTCACCTGCAGATTTGGTAGCTTTTCTGCAGTTACAAAAGATAACCCATGTTAGATTGTACGATGCTGATGCTGGGATTCTTAAAGCACTTGCAAAAACTAAGATTAGGGTCATTG